TGATTTTGTTGCAGGCTGTTTCACTGGTTTGGGTTGTTGTCCGTGAGCAGTGGCTGTTTACTGGGTGAAGGAGGTGATGGTAGTGGAGGCTGGTGGCTACAACGTGGAGGAGGGGCAGGGGCTAGGGTTAGGGTTTGACTTTGATACCAACTTGAGATAAATGTGAGTAAAAGGGATACTCAAATTAAGAGTAGGGCCCGTATATATAGCCAAATAATAATAAAAGTGACCTAAACATCCTTGTGGTCTAGGCAAAATATAAAAGTCATAGGAAGGATAAAAAAGGGAAAATAAATCCTAATAATCTAAGCTATAACTCCAACAGGATGCCATTGCTTCAAAACCATGAGTTTACCCACACAAAAATAAGGACCACCATCAAGAATTGTATTAATAGCTTCCATGTGTTTAATCTTAAAGATATAAAACCCATTGTCCAAAGTTAACACTTCAACAAGATCATATTTTCAAGTCTTTTCAGCCCACGATTGCACAAAGAAATAGGGTTGTTTCTTGTCTAAAAAATAGTCAATTAGGGCATTCTCCCATAAAGAATATCCTTGCTTAGCAATTTCCAATGGGACTTCATAAGCCTCACCCTTAACAAGACCAATATTATGAAATTTCAATTTTGAGCTAGTAGGAAACTTTTCATTACCTTGAAAATGTTGCTTCATTTGGGTTTAATAGTGTATTGTCTATTTTGACCCAACTCCAAATCAATAAGCCGATAGTTTAATGCTCCGTTGTCAGCATCATCATGTTTCTCGTTCATTAGCTTGGGCAGAAAATCCAAATTTGCATTTGGGGAGGTAGCCGAACTATTTGATTTGGCCATTACCACTTCATCTTGGTTTGAGTTCTTTAAAGAAGATGAAGTTGAAGCTCCCGATGCAACCTTATTTGCATCTTGTTCCTTGTGGTTATCATCCAAAGTTGACCAAGGCATATACCCAACAATAAAGGTTGAAGATGGATAGAGACGTTCCTCAATGAAATCTCCCATATATGAGGGGTTTGCTTGGCCGAGAATGTGGGTTGGGGTTCTCCTCGCTCTCACTGTCTAGTGAGTTACGAGCACTGATATGGATAGGGGATAGAAATTTTAAAAGCATCAAGCAGTAAGTTATGATAGGTGGATGATGTATTTGCTGTAGGTATAATTTGACTACTGAATAATGTTTCATGAAGTGATGCTTCATTGCCATCTTAGTTTTTGAGATCATTGTTGCAATCATTTGTGTCAGTGCATCCAAAACAATCTTATTCAACAATTCTTGATTTTGAAGCTTTGACCAAACATATATTGATTTTTTTCATTCAAACAAATAATACTTCACGATAGGATTCTGAATTCAATGATCACAAAACTGGAGGTTGTGCTTTGACTTGGTAGCAACTCAATATATACCTTTACATCTTTTGATGTCTTTTGAGCTTTTGAGGTGTTTATGTGCTCAGTTGTCGGTGACTGTGAGTGGAAAGGTCTTTTTTTTTTTGGTCAAGTCAGTAAATTGGCCAAAACATAAATTCGATTATGAAGAAGAGCATAGATTTAAATGCATGTTCAGCAGGAAAAGTCTAGAAGACAATGTCACACTGGTAAGTGTCTGACCTGGTGACCAACAAGAGAGAGATGTGTCCTACAGTGTATACATTGATGTTGTTCACAACCTGGACATGAACATTGGGTGTGGGGCATGTTTGAGTTTTTATTCTTCGTTGTTTTTTTATTAGGGGGGGGGAGGGGTGTGGGGCTATAGTGTCTTTCAGTCTCATGCAGGCTAAGGTGGCAGATTTGATTCTTGTGCTGTATAACCTAAGGAATCTGGGGGACTGATTAGACCTTAATTTGCAGAAAAGTTTGAGGTTTTGGGGTTTGTAAAAGGTTTAAGAGAAGACTAGTGATTCCAAACTTGAATCTAGGCAAGAGAGTAGGCTCATTTGAGTCTAGACAGGAAGTAACTGTAACTTTGGGGCTATTATGGTGTGGCACATACTTGTTCTTACTTTAAGCTTGGACTGATTTTTGCGTACTTATGATCTGATTTCTTTTTGTTCATTTTGTTGATGCGAATTACTGCTTTTAGCCCATACGTGATCGGTTGGGGAATCTGATTTCAGCTACATAGCATTCACCCCACCCCCACACACACACACATAACAACAACACACACACACACGCATCTCCCCCCCAAAACTCCATCTCTCTCTCAACTTTGAGAAGGATCAGAATGCTATTTTAAGAAATTTGACGCAGGGTTCTGGATTTGTAATTTTAACGTCCAGTTGAACACAAATTCAAATGCTGGATATGGGTGTAGATTGCATTAGGAAAAAATCGGGGGAATTATAGGACTGTAGATTTATTTAGGTGGTTCCAAGTTCCTCTGTTTCGTTTTCGGCAATCACAGTGGAAAAAATTGAAGAGAAAATTGGGTGCTGTTGGCTTTTTGGGTGTCGTGGGCTATGAACATCTCTAATCATTAATCAATTTGAGACTCAAATTTAGAATTTGAAAAAAAAAACTCTAAACATATTTTCCTCCTGTGTTCAAATCTACAAAGATAATTCTATGTCTAATAATTTTTTGCACTAAAACTTGCATCAAATTAACTGCAATCGTTAGATCAGTGATGACACTCACTGCTCTAACGGCTAAAAATGATTTGTTGTAAGTTTTGGTGCACATAGCATTAAAGTTTTGAAATTTCAATGAAAAATTTATATGTTTTATCAAATCAAGGAGGCGTTTAAGTTTTGAAATTTCAGTAATGCCACTTAGTTTGTGTCTTTAAATGGATTATGTTTACTACTTTACATCATCATTGAAGTTCGAACTCAAATCAAGTTTAATTCGAGTTTGAAAATTGGGTTTAATTCTGATGAATCTCAAATTTGATTTGTAACTTACTCAATTCGAATTATAATATTGGTTGTATTTGAATTGAGTTGAATTCCTAAATTTACTAATTCTTGGAATTTAAATCATCTTTAAAGTTTTGTTGAAATACAAAGTGTATACTAAAAAGTTTTACGCAGCTATTGACTAGTTCGAGCTGAATTCAGATTGACAGGGCCTGTCAGATTCGCATCTGTAAGTAACTTGCTAATTTGCCTTCTATTTACACCCAAGAAAAGAATAAAGCTATGTACATAGTGACAGCCATTTACTATGATCTAATGCAAAAAAAATTGATGAAAAACTTGTAAGTGTAACATTATTTAAAAGAAAAGGTAAAAAAAAAAACTTTTCCCTTCCTTCTCCCTGCTACTGCTACTAGGGTTTAGTTGGTGGTGCACATGTTCTGGCGGTGCTTAACCTCAATGTGTCCCTTGAAATTTTTTTTTTTTTTTTGGTTGCTTCAACGATTAATGGTGTTTAAACTAATTTATGCGTACTTCGATTAACCTTCTTTCCAATTAGGTCAAAGGCAGACCATCCATTGTCTAGTCTTAAGGAATAGTTAAGATTCAAATTCAAAACGTTTAAATTTATAAACGATCGTTATTGTTATTAGAATTACTTTTTAAACTTCTGACTAGTGAGATATGATTCTCTTTTTTGGGTCACGTGTTGGGCCCAGGTTTATCACAAACAGAGTGTTAAGTCACATTCATGACTTGTGGATTTCTCTGCATCGGTCCATTTCCACCTTTTTCAGTTTCTTTCCATACCCTTTGGATTTTTTCTTATTAAAAGGCAATAAAAATCTTGCAAATTTTATGAAGAAAAAAAAAGGAAAATTATGGAAACTTGACTTGAGGAAGAGAATAGCAATACCATATAGAAAAAAAAAATCGAGATCATGCTGAAAAATGAACCTTGATCATAAAGTTTGATTTGAGTTTTTAATAACCATTGATCGTTAAAATAATAAAATAAAATAAAATATTAAAATTATAAGAAGAAATAAGAAAAATACGGTACTAAAAATTATTTTACGGTACCAAAGTCCAATCCCAAGGAAGAAGGCATGAAAGATCTAGTTCGCCAATTTTGGCCTAGACAACGGGGTAGAAACTTGCTTGCTGAATAGTAGATGAGGAAGAGTTTGACATCCATGTCCATGTCCACCCAAGCAGGCTTGATCTGCTTTGTTGGATGGATAGGCACTCAGAAGTAATTCAGCCAGTTTAGACTGTAGACTCCTATTTTGTCACCAATTGAGCTCTGGGTCGACCAATTTGTCGCAATATGAGCTGATGGCGCAACCCCTAGCAGACATGTGTGAATCTGCAATGTTCTTTGCATGCCACAATGAGTGGTCCCAAATGAATTTTCTAGCTTGCCTTCTCAATTTGGTTCCATTCACCTCGTTTTTTCACGAAAGAACACTATGCTCAAGAAAAATTATCTTTTTGTTCAAAATGAGAAACGTGCTAAATTTTGGTAACTAGAATTACGAGGCAAGTCGATTTATATTATTTCAAGTCATATCATATTTGGGTTATGCCATTTTTTATTTTTATCGTGTTCATGTTAGTATTTATACTTACAAAAAAAAATTAAAAGCGTTTAATTTTCCAGGAGCAGCGTTTAATTTGGACATATTGTTCAGAAGCCCTGTTATTTTCCAAATTTCTGGATACCAACAAATAAGTTTCTTCTTCAAAATGAGAAACCTGCTAAATTTTGGCAACTTTGTATGGTGGTTATTAGCTTATGTTAGGTGTAGTTTATAGGTGTTTCAATAATTGCTAAGATTGATTGAGATGGTAAGGGTGATAGTAGAGTAGCTATTGTCGTCTTCATACCAATGAAGATATCGTGTTTATTGCACCCACGCAAGATCTCCCCCTCAACCTTTTCACATCATCAATAAAAAAAACAAAAACAAAATAACCGAAAAAAAAATGCATTAATCAACCAATCCTCTGGTAACCTGTAAATAGTCACTGATAGTGCAGTAAACCAATATAAAAAGAAATGGCAAAACTACATCTAGCAAAAAATAGAAAAAGGCACAATTCTCACATAGAAATAGAGATGTAAATGGGTTTATTTTCATTGATTTTCAAATGAATTTTTTTTTTCTACATGCCAATCTTTTAATTCCCCATCTCCAAAACAGGGGAACATGAATTGCTGTAACAACCAAATGAACAATGAATCATCTACTCTTATATTGTAAACCATGCACCTCAGACTCTAAAGTTAATCCCCTGGTGTTTATCTAACAACCAATTCCAGCATCACCAACTAATTAACGGAAATTGATTACGCTATATGCACCAACGATCAACAACCGTGCAGGAAACAGGAGCACCACAAGCAAATGCATGTGCTGCGATGCAACAAGCCTACTAAACCTGTTCAAAGATTCTCGGCCAGTTTGTAACACGCCCGAGAAGTTGAATTGACCTTGGCCCATGTTCGCTGATACCGGAGACCTCCCCATAATGCTGTTACCAGCATCAATGCTGCGTGCTACAAGAGGCCACCAAAATTTGCGACGGTGCTCTCTCCTAGCTTTCCTCCTACGGATGAGCTCCTGGCGGACTACACTGCGAACAGATTTCCAGTAAGAGTTCATGTCGTGATCTCTTTGAATGGTTCCCCCGGAACCATATGCCGAACGGTCACTTAAGATTTCAAGTGGATGCGGTGAGTTTAAGAACACAGCCTGTGCAGCACGCACCTGCTTCTCTGCCTCACTGGCGTCTGACACTGGGCATCTCAATAGATATAGCCCACTGCCGGAGGGAAGGAGATCATGGTTGGGAGACAATTTCTCATCTGGCTGTAGAATCAGAAACTCCCCCATTGGAGCATACAACAGCCTCTGTTGCATAACAAAACACTAGTTAAACTTAAGTGGTCAAATATGAAGTAATAGTATCAGAGATTGGGTTTTGCATATTAATGACTTCACCTGGTTATTGAGACATGGATGACCCCGAAAGTTTCGATTGACTGCCTTAAGAAGCTCTGCAACATGATTGGGGTAATGGCAAGAGAAGGCTCTAGGTACAATGTCTCGGTGCATTGTGACTGCCTTGATATGGCCTTGAGGCAATCCAAGCTCACGAAGCAGGCGATCCCCTCCACACATAATAGATGGTGCCCCAAACGTTATAACGGGAAGCAAGGAAGAAGGAAGGACTTCCCCCCTAATCAACAGCATGAGATTTACAAGCAGCGACAAGCTACCGCCGAGAGAGTGCCCCGTAAAACGGAACGTGGCGCGATCACCATGAAATCTTAGATGCGCACGGACTTCAGGCAGCATCTGCTCATATATCCCCTTTGCAGCCTCATATATACCTCTATGCACAATCACATCCAGTCCCTAAACAATATGACATTCTACTATTTCAGTTAATTGAACAAATATGGAGACTGCCTTATACTGGACATTTATAAACCTTAACTAAACAGCTCCATACGTTAATATATCGTGCCGATTTTGCAAAGTCATCTTTTAACACCCTAAAACCCAACTCAGAAGTGAACCACCTAAGAAACAAAAAGGCATTGTGAAATGTGTGTATGAAAACTACCTCAAACTGAACGGGCTCAAAGAGTAGATTGGCTTGCCACGATGCCAGTGACTCCGATCCCTGAAAGTACCATATTCAAGCAATGGCATAAGATTGCAATCAATATATGCGGTGCTGATCTAAATAAATACAGGCAGAAAATCAGCATTTAAAACCTGCTAATCTATTCATCCATCAACACCCTAATAATCACAATCCACAGCAGTGTGACCTCAGCTCCAGTAATATTAACAAACAACAACTAGACCGTACCTGAATGACAAAGAATCTTGTGCCACTTTGATCATCATCGCAAACGAACCACTCACAGGGTGATGAACGTGTTGAATTCAAATCATCTGCAACAGCCTGCTTCACTTCCTCCTTTGCAGCGACCACTGCTGTCACTGAGTCAGTGGTTGCCATTAAGGAGGCCACCTTTGCGTCCATCATACAAACATTATCATTGGTTCCACTTTCTCCTTCAGGCGGATCTTTAATTGACTTGGGTTTGAAGGATGTAAAGGGAAGGACGCTTGTTGTATGAGCATGCAGATACGAAGCAGCAGAGGCGGCAATCTGATAAGCAGTGGTGACACTTACCCTATTCCCACTAGTAGTCTTCCCCTCCTTCCTGTCCGCAGGCTCCTTTGGGCTTCCTTCTGCTTCCTGAACATCGGCTTCTGCCTTCTCTTTTTCAGCCTTTAGCACTTGTTGTTTCTTTTCCAATGACGAAGTAATGAATCGCAGTCCGTGATATTTCAGGAGATTTCCTGGCTGTACAACCAATAAGATGAAACGAAATCTCCATTCATACTATTTATCAAAAATATTAAATTTAACATATCTAAGTTTGTCTATAAAAGCAAAATGTTGTGCACTAATGTGATAACAAATCTACTCTAAGAAATATAAATTTAGCCTATTGCTTTTGTTACAGGAATTATAATAGTTGTGGTGAAATTGGGCAGCCTATAACATTCTACTGTCTGGCCATGCCATCCGTATACATAGATGAAAGAGATCCAAGTTTCACCCAAAAATTTCAACCAATCATCAAAAGCCTAGAACAAAAGAAAATTAGGTCTATAGGGTAAAACTCGATCTGAAACTGTAAGAAGACAAATATCGATCAATCTCATTTCTAACGAGACAGAAACCCATTTACCAATTCCTTCAATTTCACAGAAATCAAACAACTTATACATGGCTTTCTACAAATTTTCAACATTTCATTCGATGTAAAATTCATCAAACAACCCAGCGGTATAAAAAAAAGGTTGATACCATCCAAGACAAAAGAAATCTGAAAATCCGTAGATGGTGTACCTTGATTTGGGGAATGGAATAAGCCAAGTTCCCTAAATACGACATCTGAGCATACAACCTTGCTTCTGCCAACGACACCCTGCGAAGCAGCTTTGAAAACGAACCCCTGTTGAATTCAATCTTGTCGTCATCATCAACTGTACATACATTACATTCTTCATCACCACCACCACCATAACATTCGCTGCTGCCCAGATCATTTTCATTATCATTCACCACGCCGGTTTCTTCCTCTTTTTCCCCCAATCCTTCACCGCCACTTTGCCCTTCGTCCTTCCACAAAGCCCTCACATGAAGAATCTTCGACACCCAATTCCCATTCTGTCCATCATTCCCACTCTCACCTTCAATAACCCCTTCTTTTTTCTCTTCCTTTTCATCAACCACGACGGCGTCATCCAGCGCAATGGCATCGTACCTGTTTCGACCTCCAGGCCACAGAGATCTGAGTGGGTACCTAAAAGAAAACCCCCAAGGCGCAGTTCTTTGAGGCGGCGTCGACAACGACACAGAAGGTTTGTCAACCGAAATCGCATTGGCAGCCGGCGTCGCAGAATGTCCCACCGCGGCGCTAAGGTGGGCTGAAGTTGTACGGACGTCTAAAGCTCCCCCGGCGACCGGGATCGCTGAAGTCACCCCATGAATCCCTGCCTTCAAAAAGAGACTATCCATCTTTTCACTACTACTTCTGGGTATGCCTCTCTTTCTTTGTGGTATTTGTATATGTATATAGAGTTTCAAAGGAAAACCAGGGAATGGGGATCAACGCTAACGTACGACGCCGACGATCAGGCGTTAACGTGCACTACAATTTTGAATTTGAGTCCTTTTCTTTGACGAATTTCAGAGAGAGAGAGAGAGAGAGAGAGAGGATTTAAAGAAGAAGAAGGGAACCGGTTTGTTCTGCGTTTCCAACCAAGCAGGTGACCAACTTTCACAGCTTTCTCTCCCACGGCGATATTTTTGCCCAACTGAATGCAGATCCCTTCTGACCAAAAAATAAAAAAATGCAGATCCCTTCTTTTCAGGAGGTGACGAACACTAAACGTTTCAAACGACGTCGTCGGAAGTTGGACCTATAATTATCTTTCCTCTGCCCCACGACGTCGTTTCCAATTCGTGATGGTACCTTCGTCGTGTCGGGTAAGTCCAGCTGTTTCGCACAAGGAAGCGCGTGTGGGTTGTGTGAAGCCCACAATGGGGACGTGTGCATAAAGCTCCTGTTTTTCTCTCTTTCCGTCTCTCGGTAGGTTTGTAAGTTTGAGTTTGCAATACATACGCCCCTGTACCTTAACAAAACAAATACACGTTGTCTGACACGGACACGTGTCGGGTAAGTAAATCCTAACGTTAAGAACAGTCTTATACAAAATTCTAGTTTAAATTTGATTTGGTATTTTTAAGATTCTATCTGGAATGAGTCTTTGTCCCAAAAAAAAAAATAAAAAAAAAAAATCTGGAATGAGTCTCATCGCAATTCAAGTTCCAGCTGTTTAATATTTCATACAGGCGTCTGACTTTCTGCAATGCATGGGTGATTTCTTCAAATGCAGAGTTATTGTTAGTTATTTTATAAGTTACCAAAATTTTGTAGAAACTATTAGATTGAGAATTTCATGTTGTTAAAAAAAATAATTACGTGGTGGTTAGAGAGAATTTATAGATAGTTATTCATATTAGTTATTCTAGTCATTTGATAGAATATGATTGGAGAATGAGAATTTAATAATTAAAAATTCTCAAAAAAATAAAAAAAAAGTGGGAGGAAGGCTTCTCGAACTATCTTTGTAAGAAATTGTTTGTTTTATATAGATAACCTTTAGATGCTAATTAGATTTTCAAGGTTGCATTAGGTATCCAAATGTTTCTATTTTTTTTATATTTTTATTTTCAATTTTTGTCAAAAATTAAAAAAAAAATGTGTTTGTGATGTGCTTCTATTTTTTTAGCAACTCTTTTTTAAAAACAAGGCCAAAAAATGAAAACATAAAAAAGACGTTTTTATAAACACCTAAAAATAAAAATAGGCACTCTCCATACTGGGATTAATGAGATTTCGGTTTCGATCCTCCTTAGCAACAAAAAAATGAGTTTTCTTGATTAAGCATCAAAATTCCTCCCCTTTCATTCCCTCTTTTTCCCGCCTCTCTTTTGTTGGCATCTTGCTCTCTCTCGCCTCTATTTGATTTTTTTTTTGTTTGCGATAGTTAAGTGGTGAATTTTCAAGTGTGTTGGTGGTGGGTTTTCGATTGTGTTGATGGTGATTTTGAAATGGTGAAGATGTTGATGTTGGGTGGTTGGTTTTTGAATAGTGGAGACGTTGGTGTTGGATGGTGGGTTTTTGGTGGTTGAGTGGTGGGGTTTCAGGGATGTTGATAATGGTTTTCGTTGGGTTGGATGGTGAATTTTCGGTGGTGTATTTTGGAATAATGGAGACATTGGTGTTAGGTGGTGGTTTTGTGATAGTTGTGTGGTGCATTCCTAATTGTATTTTGAGGAACAACATATCTGAGATTAAAAAATTAACTAAAATAACCGAAAACACTATTATAGCAAACATGCTTATTATTTTTATTTTCACAATTTTTTAAATATAAATAAATATCAAATATATTTTATATTTTTAATTTTTATCATAGAAAAAAAACAAAAAATTTTACCAAATGCACCCAAGTCAAAAGCTCAAAAAAATTACTAAAAAACTTATGCATTAACGTATGGACTCAAACCTAAATGTGTGACCAATGAGTCCTGGAAATTCATGAATTTAAATTGTGTATAAAGTGGGTGGGTAGGTGTATGTATGTATGGACCACAAAGTACGGGTGAAATTCTTTAAATGTTGTTGAACGAACGACTTCTGATGAATCTTGTCGTTAATATCTACATTTCTGGTTACTAATAAATTCATTAATTGTTGTTGGGCCTCTCAGTGAAAGATCTTAAGATTGGGCCCCCACCTAAGCTAGATAGCATCACCAGCCACGGGGAGTTGCACACTATGATAGTCGAACAAGTTATTTAAACGCATAATTTGATTATTATTATTTTTTAAAATTAATATATTTTAATTTATCAAAAAATAAAAATATAAAAGATATCGTTGAAGTCTCGATATACTAAACAAAAAGCATTGTGCTTAATCCAAAACCTTTGGAGTTGGAATATTTTGTTTTAAATACTCTGAAAATTAATACGTTTGACGTTTTTCAAACTAAACGAAATGGAAATTTAATTCCATTTGCAATGTGAAACAGTTTTATTCTTCAAAGGAAATTCACTCTATCTATGTGGTATGCTCCCCCTAGAGCTTTTTGTGTTTTAGATTTGCAATAATGGTGCTCACACTATAGTTGTATATGACCTTCTTTTCATTATTGAATATGATACAATTATAATTGTTGAATTTTAGTAGATTCAATAAAATTTATTGATACAATAGTACGCATTGATGTAGAGTACAAAAATAGCATGCTAACGTCTTTCTTAAGGGTGCAACTCTAGGGGTTGGGATGGTCCATTGGTTAATCAAATTTCACCCAATTTAGAAAACATTCATTTTGAATCTTCACCTCGAATATTGTTCATGTTTATATTTTTAAATTCAAGTTAAACTCAAGTGACACACCCTATTGCAATTCAAATTGAAATCGGGATCAATTTAGATTAATTCTCGAGTACTAGAATTTTATTTCAAGTTCACTTTGATTGAATCTGAGGTTGATTCTCAAGTTATACAATTTGGTATATAATTGAGGTTCAATGTTGGTGGAAGTTGGGTCAACTCGGGTTCAAATATTGACTCTTCGGGTTGAACTCAAGTTAGCCCAACAAATAGCTCTGTTGGCTTAAACCGTCAATCTGGTTCGAGAAACGTCTCTACTTTATATCATATGAGCACTTTTTTTCTGTGCCAGAAGCACATCTCTTTGGAAGTCTTTACCAAATAAATCCCATCTCTTTCAGAGGTACTCTCTCTTTCGATGCTTCGTTTTAGAGTTTCTTCACTAACCGATTTATATATGAATATGAATTATATTGCGACTCTGATGTTAACCTAGATTTTCTTTGTTTTGGTATTCAATTCCTTATTTTTTTTCGTGATCTTAGTAAGAGGCAACAGCTTTATAATGAGCAATCCTATAATGAATAAAAAAATGTCAAAAAAAATGGACCAAATGACGTGAACTAACGTGAGAAAAAAATTTAAACTGAATGTCAAATCTATATTAAAAATAGTCTTGAAATTTATTTTGTTGAAAATGAAATTGAGTTTTAAAATTGCGATCAAAGAATCGAACGTTAAATTTACTCTTCTTAGTATTTTTAAATCCTATTTTTTGATGATTCAGTTACTTTTTTAAAATTTTGTTTGATGCTAATAGAATTGAAGTGGATTGGAGAAGGAAGTTGCTGTGCATGGAATGTGAACAACTCCTCTACAGTAAGGAGTTTTTCAGAAAGAATTTCATTTTATTCCTCCTTTGTTGAGCAGTGCAGCACATGATGTACAGTTCAGAGATGATCCCAATGTATAAGTTGCTCTGCATATCACATTCTACCTTGAAATGTATATGTTTAATTACAAAGTAATATTCGGGTTATTGAACTTTCAATAAGCACAATGGTCTTAGGTGTTTTGAGTATAGTGTGATTTGCTATAATCATTTGTTAACACAGTGGTTGGATTAAGTACTCGATTACCTCTGTTGTGTCATGTATCAAGTTATACTCCAGCTCGTCTTTAGCTTCCCTCCTTTCATTTGAACTTGGAAACTCTAATTGAGGGAAATGATGTATTCAGATTATGTCTAAATTGTTTTTGTTCAATAAATTGACGGGATGTATAAGTTTTTCGTGTTGTTCTCTTGCTGCTCATGCATCTTAGACCTTCAAAGACTTAATGATAGGACTAGAGATTAGCTTTATTTCCTCTTGTTTTGCCGATTCTAATTCTCTGTTTGATAGAGAGGATGGAAAATAGGAGGGATACACTTTCTATCATTTAAGGATGGAAAGTAGAAAGGATACGCTTTCTTTCCTTTGTGTTTTGTTGGATGGATGGATGGAAAATAAAATGACTATTTTTTTTTTTTTGTGCTGGCTAAGATTAGGGGTGACAATCGAGTCAAGTCGTGTCGTGTCAAATTCGTGTTGAATTATTACGAGTTTGTATCGAATATTAGTCAAACCTAATTTAACTCAATTAATTAATTGTGTCGTGTCGAGTTGCGAGTTGACCATTTTATTTTCGTATCGAGTTCGAGTCGTGTCATCGTGTTGAGTCGAAAATTTTCAACCTTAGTTAAGATGGAAAAAATATTTTTTTTTAATTTTAATTTTTTTAAAATTTATTTTTAAAATTTATTAAAATATATATACATATTTTACCATTGTATTTTTATATGAAATTAATGTATACATAAGATATATAGACAAATAAAATATATCTTAACACAAATAATTAACTTTTCATCCACTTTTCTTCCGATTTTGGAGGAATTAATTTTGGTGAGTTGGAAGACAAGTTAATTCATCCACTTTTTCATCCTTCCTTACCAAACATGATTTTTATTTATCGTTCTAACTTTCCATCTTTCCACTTTTCTATCGTAGGAGAAGGTCTTTAACTCATTGACTGAGGCTTCTTTTTGAGAACTTTAAGCTTTGAGAATTTTAAGCTTCTTTAGGTTGGTT